ACAACAGATGATGTAACTATTTTCAGTCTGAGCAACAACAAACATTCTCCCACTCTCTCACTGGTGCCATGCAAGTCACCATCTGTAACAACTCAGGGTTCGGTGCGACTTCAGTGACGCCGACATGTGGAACATTAATCACTGGAAGAAAATAGTTATAGAGCCTCGTCTAACTCTGAGAGCTGTCGTCCCAGCAGCGTAACAACACCTGGATGCTTTGTGTTGTTTTTGAAAAACTTCAACGTCCTTCAAAACTTTAATACCATGTACACAAGGAATGTTAATAATATGAATACAAAGTGCACACATGTCAGTGTTTATATAGTAGAATCCTGCATACATCCCAAATGTAATAATGCGGGTCAGATAATAGATTCAAACTGAGGACCTTATTGCCTTGAGGCATCAGTGTTAACCACAGCACGACCATAATGCCCTATCCTGAAATTCTCCCACATTTTTTTCCAGATTGGTGAATCTGTGGCCATTTTTTACTTCTGAAAAAGCACTTCTCTGTCTTTCTAAGACACTGTTGTTTATATCCAAACATGTTTATTGACCTGTTGTCAATTAAGCTACTTAGCTGCAAAATGTTCCTCCAGCTATATTTTTTTAATACCAGTTACTTATCAGCAGAGGGCAATGTTGCACCAAACCTACAGTCAGTGGTGGTGACAGTGATTCAGAGACTGGTCATTGGATTTGGGGGGTTTGTCATTTTGTTTTTACCCCCTCTCAGCTGTGATGATCCTGTAGCCAAAAGCAATCTGTCTCCACCTTTATTATCAAAAAACACTTCAGTAATCAAGTGTCTGAGCGACTCACTGACGCTTTGAGAGTTAGACACATACATATGGCCAAAGGCTAATTAAAGTCCTGAATCCTTGACACCAACACAAAGATCTGGTTATGGCTTGGGCCATGTTGTTCTTAGACAGGAGAGTGTGACTACTAATCACTACGAAGTTGTTCTAAGCTTTGATTAAGAATTTAAGAATTGTAATGAGAACGGCTTCTTCTGGGATAACAACATATATGGATGTCTTACAATCTTTCTTTAATGTTTTCATTCTATTTTAATTCTCCTTATTATATTATCCCTCTGTTCAGCACTTTGGCCGACACTTGATGTCTTTTAAATGTGCTATATAAATAAAGATGACTTGACTTGAAAATGCAAAGCATTGCAATGTGCAGGACAATGCACCCGCTACCACAGGCACTGTAGCCACAAAGCTATGATAATGTAAACCTAATTCATTACACTGTAAATAAAAAATTAGTAACAATTAATTAATACTAATGACAAATAAGCAAAAATTCCCCTAAGACCTATGATGTAAACAAACAGGAAGCAAAAGCAAGAAACATTTAGGGAAATGTGTAGGAAAGTGTAGAAAAACAAAAAACAAGATGATACAAATATGAAAGATATGAAAGCCATAGACTACGAAAATGAATGGCTAAACAGACAATTATGACAATGGGTGGGAGTAGGAAACTTGTACTTAAGGTTAGAGTTCCTTTCATTCTCCATCACTCTCTCCCCCCACCTTCCTGTCGCCCTTCTCCATTGTCCAAGCAAATGAAAACTTAAAACATTGATTAAATAATTAACAAATAAGTAAATGAATAGCAATAATGTAACAATATGATTTCCTGCATAGTTCAGTAACCTCATTTTGCACCTCACAGTTATAAGCATAAAAAACACTGGCCGCCAGTGCTACCTCTCAACCTTCCTGTAGATGCACCTGTTGTGCTGCATCCTGTATCAATTAGAAAAACCTAGGTGACATCTTAGTCAAATTATTGTGTTCACAAGATTTTCAGAAAACTTAACATCACTGAGATTTTTAGCAGATGCACCTATGATACTTATTTGAAAATCCTAGGTGACTTCCTTCTTGAGTTATCACATTCACAAGGTTTTCAAAAATGAAAACTACAGCAAAAAAGCAAAAAAAAAAAAAATTGAACTCCAATTTTGAAAACACAACTTTCTTTCTTTCTTTTTTTATAAAGCTCTGAGTTGTATTATGAGTATGAGTCTGGGGTCTGGGAGAGAGTCCTGTAACTCAATGTTGGGCAATTAATTATATAGTTACTTCTTCAAAAAAAGTAACTGAATTATGCAAACAACAAGGGTTTTTTTTGCAGCTGTTTACCTAAAAATGCAGCCAATGCATTTTTTAAAATAAACATTTCAAACTATTTACAGAACAATAAGCTGTTCTGCATCAAATAAGATGCCACACAAATTATTTGTGCCCCTCCAAAAAATAATTTCTGTCCACTATGAGATAAAGGAGAACAACAGCCTGATACCTGCAGGCCTGACAACAGGAGATGTATCACTGTAACACCTGTAACATTCAGCAGTGCCTCGTTGTTCTGACACACACAACAAATCTATTGACTACACTACACACTAACAAGACAACACACTAACTTTAGACTCCAAACACGTTAAACATCGCAAATCTCTCACATCTCAAAACACTCCTAAAACTTCCTAAACAACTAAATGCCATGTTGCCATATCACTTTTGATTGGTCGACATGGTAAATATTTCCACCAATAGGAAAGGGTGGGGTTTTTTTGGTTTTGTTTTTGCTCACAGGCGGAGAATGCTTTCGAGCACTTTCCTTATAAAATGCCGTTTTAAACGTTTCTTCCTGCAGTAAATATAAACAACGATAGTATTCAGAAAAAAAACAAACATTGCAATATTTTTTATCATAATTCTGGTTTTACGTGGCCTATCAACACAATTTAAAACTAATATAAAGTCCACACTTTTTCCGTCAATTGTTCTGTCTGTCCTGCTCACTGGTTGTACACGTTTTCATTAACGTGGCTTCACTCCACATCAGCCACGCCGCTTTGCTAGCTAAAACACCGGTGTCGGCACATAAGGACGCTGTCATAGACTGTCATCTATTAGCTGCATATATACGAATGTGAATCGCATCATTGGCTGGAGCAGCCAGACACCAATCACTTACTTACTCACACTGCAAAACAGAATGAATTGTTAACGTATTTATTTTAATTGCAATTCAGGTTAGATTTTTTTGTGCGCAACACAGATTTTCTGTGCGCAGAGACCGTGCCAGCATTGCGCGATTGCGCACGCACGCAGTTTAGAGGGAACATTGCTTGTAGCTATCCTCAGTATCTGCAATGTTGCCTTTGCGCAATTCCCTCACTTCTGACTACCTTCCCTCTCATTATTACCATCCAGCTACACTTCTCCAGTCCAAGTGACATTCTGATGTCGTTGCTGTAGATCAGGGGTAGGCAACCTTTCTGATGACGAGTGCCATCTAAAATTTCCTAAGAAGTTTATGTGCCATATGATTGCATTAGCAATAAATTTAATAACACTCTATATAAACAGTTACACACTATATAGAACAACTTTATAGAATTTTATTTGTTTGCAGATGTTGGCAGGTATCAGCGAATAGTTATCAGCTATTTTGAAATAAAAAAAGACACTTTTTATCCATAACAAGAACTCCATAACAGCAAATGAACTGTACAACAGAAAATACAAAAGCTATTTATCGTCTCCTCACAACAATGATAAGAAAAATAAACTGGGCCAATATGGCATGTCTGTTAATACAGGGATACAGATGTTAATGTGATCTCTGGTCTCCCACTCAGAGACACAAGTCTCCGAGTGTCTGCAATGTTCTGAAGACGGTTAAACTTGTCAGGTAGTGATGTCCAGCAGGTGAAAATGCAAGCTCCATGAACACGCACATCCATGGATT